TCTAAGTTACCCTGATTACTTGCCAAGGCAGCCTCGAAGTCGCGAGGATCGATGACCGCAATCACTTGACCCTTTTTGACGAGGTCGCCGACATCGACAGGAACTGAGACAAGTGGCCCTGACACCTGGAACGAAAGATCGACTTCGTCTTTGGCTTTGGCACGTCCTGGAAACTCTCGACTATTAACGGCCGTCAAGTTTCCGACTTGAATGGTCCGAACGGGTCGGATTGGTGGAGCTTCTGCAGGCGGAGCACCGCACCCTAAAATTGCCAGGAGCAACGTTGCCGTCGTGGCAACCGATCCTCGATACCTCAACATGATAGATCGTCCGTAGTTGTTTAAGGGTTTTGGGCGTCAGGGTCGTCCAGGTGTACCAAAAGCCACTGCTGGGTAGTCCCATCTGCAAAGTGAACCAGTGCTGGTGCGGTATCTTTCGTAAGATTGGAAATGCCAGCCTCCATGATTGGACGCGACTTTCCGACGACATTCCAAGCACATCGTTGCGTTTTCTTATCAACCATTCCTTCGATGGTTTGTGTCTCATTCGTAACGGTGTTATTCAGCGTTCCGGAAATGATTCCTTCTTTACTGATTGCCAATTGTAGAAATAAAGTTGGGTCAGGTCCTTCACTCTCTCCATCTTCGGTCAGTGCAAAGACCCCCAATGGCATCCACTCGCATTCTTCGGCAGGGATATCAGGCGCACTTTGGGCGATCTCTTCGGCTTGAGCGGCATACTCTGCTTCAGTGCAGTAAACCTGATCTCCGTAGTAGACCGAGCCATCTTCGTAGTAAACGTTCTCGCCGTACTCGTAGTAATATGGTTCCGACCAACCATAGTCGACCCAACCTGTGACTCCAGACCATGCGGCCCAGCGAAATGGCCGTGTTATTGCCCAGGCTCCCCATAGCGGATGATCTGACCAGAAATCACGAATTGGATGGTCGTGAACGTGATCACGTATCTCGTCCCTTCGCTCTTGTCGATGCTCGTGACGCTCGCCTCGATTATCAATTCGATCGGGACGATTCCCAGCGATGGGTCTTTCCCCTGGGCCGGGACGATCTCCTAGTCCAGGCCGCTCGCCAACGCCGGGACGATCGGCGATTCCTGGACGGTCCCCTGTACCCGGTCGATCAGCAATCCCTGGTCTATCTCCCCCTGGCCGATTGTCCGCGCCGGGGCGTTCGGCAGGCAACGTACTTGGACGGGAAGATGAGTCACGAAGGAAATCTGCTGCAGCACTTCCAGCCGTAGCGCCTCCGATCGCTCCAGCAGCGTTACCAGGGAGAGTGCTTGGACGCGTCCCTGACGGAAGATTGCTTGGACGTGACCCCGGTGATGAGCCTAATCCCAGAAACTTTTGAACGTCACTAGAGCTTGGGCGGCCTCCCCCGCTCGCGCCACCAGGCCGTGAACCGAGTGAACTACCAGGACGACTTGCACCTCCCGCGGGACGAGTGCTCGGTCTAGGAGGCGTGACGCTCGGACGGGAAACGCTTGGCCGAGTTATACTTGGGCTTGATGGTCGAGATGCAGGTCTTGGCGCGGGACGACTTACCGCTGGCGAACGGCTGACCGATGGTCGACTAGCCCCGCCGCTAAATCCACCTCCACGAGCTCCTCCACCGCGACCACCTCTCGCAGAGGCATCATTCACAACGAGCAGGCTCACTGCAAGCGTCACAAGCATGAGAGAGTAGGATCGTTTCATTTCACCGCCTCAGAATAGATCGATTGGATTATTTGGTAGGTTTCGTTGAGGTGCAATTAGTCCATTAACTTCCGGCGGACAACGACAGGATCTACGTTGGGCAATAGTTCACCGCCGACGACGCGCGAAACCGATTGCCAGATGAACGAGTCGTCGTTAATCTTTTGGAACATATTCACGGAAGACGATTTGCTTCCATCAGGAGCCACTCCTTGAATTTGGACTTGCCAGGCGTCCCCCTTTTGGCCCCAAACTCCTTCGCCGAAGCCACCATCTGAATCAAACACCCAGGATCGGATTTGCTTTGTCGACGGGTCCCAGCCGATGATCTGCATACCAGATACTTCAATGCGATCTCGAACACTGACCGCAAACATCCGTCGAATGAAATTGCGGTTTTTGGTCCATTCACACGTCGTTTCTATGGTGGTGTCTTCGTCCTCATCTATCCACGAACCAATCATCCATTCCAACGGTTTCAACTGTTCATAGTTAGTCGAAACGACAGGAACAGTTTCTTCTGTGACTCGATCTAGCAGCCACTTACCATCTCGTTTGACGTAGATGGCTGTGTACTGGGTATCTTCAGGATCTGATTCCGGATGAAGAATACGAGCCGTCCCAAACTCGGCAGCGACCGTAGGTGAAATAAATTGCACAGAATCGGTCGTCGTTGTAATTTTGATCCCTTGGTTTGCAGCAAAGATCCCTGAGAATTGGGATTCGATCGCGGTTTGGCCAACTACCTGCGCTCCGCTGTCAGGATTCGTATAAACCGCGTCCGGGGACCACATCGAAGCCAATAGCTTCGCGTCCCCAGCATTGAATGCGTCGGAGTAGTCTTGAACAGCCTTGCGAATCATTGCTTCGTCGTCAGCCTGGTCTGCTACAAGGGGTACGACAAAGGACGTCCAACAAATCATTCCGAACAAGATGGCTTGAATACGATTCATCTATTCGATCCCCGATCGTTCAAATGCAAATGACGGGCCGCAGGGTCTTCTGTAATTAACTCAGCGCTGCATGGTCAACTGACTCGGTACGGCCCAAGTCGGATCAACGGTATTTGTAGTATACGGTAAAGATTTTCGGATGTCGCTCGGCTGCGCCATTTTCGGTTCGCGGTTAAATATTGCGACCAGATTTCGGAGAATTAGGAATCCACCAGCGTCCTCGCGTGGTGTGCTTGTTTAGGAGAATGCCTAAATCCAGCTTCTTTTTCACGAAGTCCTGGGCCAAGACGGTACGGCCTAATAGAAATTAAAATACCGCGGAGAGATTTGGTGTTTCAATCTTTGGACTGAGAAGTTTTCGCAAGTTCATGGGAAAACGATATTGCTCAAACGGAATCATTCCTAGAATCTCACTTCAGCAATTGCGCAAACGGTGAGATACGTTGATACCATCAAAAGCATTCGTTAGAACGTACTCCAAGACATCGAAAACCTATTTAGGTAATTCGACAGTTACTTCTAGATGGCCGTCGCTGGTCGAGATCGACTCTCGATCTAATGAAGTGGGCCTGTTTCGCTGCCACCAAGTTTCTGCGTCGACTTCCGTCCATAACT